TGTAAAACAACGATAAGATCGATCGCTGCAGTTCCTAGCATCGATTCATCTAAAAAAAAGTTTGATTACGAGTGAAATAATTTTAGTAACAAATACCACTTGTCCGAAAAATGTACGAGATATTAATAGAATTCGTAATATTGCGGCAGTCTTACTGCAAGCGCGCAAAGGAGATGCAGATGTAGTTGTCGAGCGACAGAGAAAAGGGGGGAGAGAGAGAGGGAGGGGGGGAGGGAGGGAGAGAGAGAAGAGAGAGCTCGGATATGCGTGACGAGTGCGTGGGAGTGAGACCTCATCGAGAGCGCGATGTGGGTCACTAGGAAATTGTTAGTCGTCATCTGTTAGTCGTTCCGACAGTCTTCCTGTGCACGACTGGCGACTGGGCGCTGCGTGAGCGTCATAATCCCACGTAGGGTTTGGTTCAGGAAGACTTGGGAAGAATGCCAGGGAATCCACTATCTCTTATTGACATACACGCGCTGTTGCTCCGTTTTCTTCATTTTCTTCTCAACTTGTGTGCGAATAGGAAATTTGAATAATATTATTTTAGCAAAATTTTTGACAATCCAAAAATGGAAAACCTGACATTTTTTATCTGAATTGTAATACATGTAAATCTAATCGCGCAATTATTTTTTTTGACAAAAAAATTTTTTTAAGCTTACATCCGACTTTTAATTTTTTTGCAACGTTGAATATACAATTGCATAATTTTCCATAATTTGTGACGCTGCAATAAGAGATTTTAAAAAGTAATTTTATATGCATCAAATTGTTTAATTAAATGTAACGTATTCTGTGTCAAAAATCGATAAATTTCAGAGGAATTTCAGTTAGGTTCGATGCATTACGTATTTCGAGACAATTTGTATCAGCTCCGGGAAAGAAATTGAAAGATCTTTTGTCTAGTAGCTCGCGCTGTACAATGATCGCGCGTGGGTGTTGAAACTTGTCTCGCGTGGCATAAAGCTGCGGCGGTGCACGCCGTAAGGCGGGAGAACTGTACTATTGCATTGCGTAAGAGAGCCGCCGACGTTCACGAGACGATATGCGCCGACGTAGACGTGCCGCCGACTCGTTGCATTGTGCATCGCGCGCTGTGCAACGCGAGCGTCAGTAAAACACATTCGTCGAATCTGCATGCGAAAAATCCCGTCGCTCGTACGAGAGTCTGCGGTGTCCCAGATACATAATATAAATGTTTATAGCGTAGCAAATTATAATATATATATGTGTTGCTTTGAGGTGAAGATATATTTCAGCCACAAGATTCGGAGACTACAAATGAGATTGTTAAAATAATTTTTTATTCGAAGAAATGCAAAACACGTCAAATCACTGAATTTTTTTAGTTGCATGTACTGCATTTTTTCGTAACTTTTTGCTGCAAACGGTTGCACGAAAACGACGTTTCGTGTGTACCAACCCAATAATTATAATTCGCAGGACTAAATTCTCGTGTAGTTGCAGCGTGCGTGATGCGTATCGGAGCGGACAGTCGGGCATACATTGCTAATCAAGATAAATTGTGATGGAAGTCTTTAAGAATGGTTATCCTTCGAGGGGTTATTTTCGTAGGCGAGGGAATTCATATAATATTAATCTCGCGAGATTTTTGACAATCCTAAAATTAAAAAAAAATCTGAAATTTCTTATCTGAAATGTAAAAATTAATATACATATTAATTTAACCGCACAGCTATTTCTTTACTTTGACAGAAACAGTTATCCGATATTTGCTTATTGAATGAGATTTCTGAGAACACTCAATTCTATCTTTGAGATGTTGAAATTATTAAAACTGACTTTCTAATTTGTATTGACACAGAAAAATGTGAAGCGCCTCAGAACTTACTGCATTTTCTTTCAGTTCTGTTAGAAAATGCGGAAACAGAATTTATATATAATTTTCTCTAATTTTTTAGATTAATTTTCTAGAATTAATCTCTAAACTTTTTAATTGGCTATAATAAAGAAATGTTTTTTTATCATGGTAACGCATTTGCGTGTTTACTTTACGAGTCGCTTTACGATTCATTCGCGAAATCTATCGTAATCGACGAAGGGGTAAACGGCGTTTGAGCCGCATTTCCTCGTTAATCGCTTTGGTCGCGAAGGAAGTCACCGACAAAACGACATGTCGCGTTAATGGATCACACTCGCGTGCGATTAATTTATGAGGTGCTAAACGGCTGGCCGGTCGGCTGAAGGGTGCATTAAAATGCACCCTTTGCGCCTAACGTGCGCCGCGACGCACGACGCGGCGGCGTCTCTCGTGCCAGGAAATTCAAAGTGTTGCGATAATGAGAAGGTTCCACTTTGCCAGATCGTCCTTAACGATATCGCACCCCGTCGCTGCACGTCACACCGTCCTTAACGACTCCATTTACACCCCCTTTCGTCCACGGCCGCGGCCGCATTTCGCGCGGAATCTCGCGTTTATACATATATGCATGTATATGGCTCACTTTCGCCACGCGAAATTGCAATCTGGGTTATCGCCAAAGCTTTCTTTCATTTTTACGTTGCACTATATAGAGCATAACTGAACAAACAGATTAGCTTGGAGTGTTGAATGAGGAGTTCTGACAAAATTACACTTGGAAGCGGGAGAGAGAGAGAAAATACGTTCTACATTATTTTATTTTATTAAAATTATAAAATTTTTTTTTCTAACAATCAGATACTTGTTATCTCTTGATTATTTTCAATTATCATCAATACTGGGGCATTGTCATCGACGAGACTTAAGTCTTTGAAGTGAATTATTGAGTTGAATCCGATATTTTGATCTTTCTGTTTCTTTAATTCTTTGTCCGATATCTTGCGCGGGCGATTATAGCACACGCCTGTTTCGCAAGAAGAGCGAGTCACTGACATTTCTCTTTCTGCTCGGCTCAGCGCGCGCGTTGGAAGTGACTCATTGCTGAAGACAACGAACCCCGAAAGGAAACCAAATGAGTGAATGAAGCGATGAATGGGCCTTCTTATGAATGAATTTACTACTGCTCTCCCGCGCGGATGATGATGATGATGACGATGACGACGACGACGACGACGACGACGACGACGACGACGACGACGACGACGACGACGACGATGATCGCTTTTTCCTTTCGTTTTTACTACGTTTTCTCGTTAAATCACAGTTTACTCTCCAGTACGTCATGAGAGTTTCGCGAGAAAAACGAATTCTTGTCGATTAAGCTATGTTGTATTACCCATTTGTCCTTCTAAAGTTTGGCTGCTCTAGATTAAACAAAGAATCTCGGATTAAAATAAAAATTATCCTCTTATTAGTTGAAAAATATTGTTGAAAAGTTTTGTATCAAATTCTTCGAAGACACTCTGTATCTACAGTATGTACAGATAAACAAACATGTATTTTCGCGCAATGGGAATATTAATTGCTAGATTGGACTTCAATGATACATATTTTGATGTAAAAATGAAGAATTTAAGGATTAATTTTTGTTAAGGATTGATTTATTATTCGCTTCTACGATCGCAAAATGACGTTCCCGAGTCCAAGTTTCTGGCTCGCTTTATCTTGCGAAGAATGCAGCCTGCATTAGGTGAAAGGCGACGGTTCAACCATTAGGAGCCTTTATCGGGTGCGGTGAGCAGCGTTACACCGCGGAGATAATCGTAAGCGGCTTGCCATGCGCGCTTACGTTACGTCGTTTGTTTCATAATCGCTCGCTTAGGATAGGAAAAGTGTGCCGTAACCCCGCTCTGTGAAAAGTGTGTCACGTACATGTAGACGCCGCGTTCCTCGCGGTATATATAGCAGCGACACACACACGTGCTTTCTTCGGCGGTGCATACACTAAAATTGGAACGTTATGGGGAAGATTAGCGTCGCTCCGGCTTTCGAGAGTGGCACACGAAATCATTGAAACCATGAAACATCTTTAAGAAATCGAAAAAAGATAAAGATAATTTGTTTTTCTAAATAAATATTATACACTATAAAAGGAAAATATATAATATTCGAAATTGTGAGAGAATAAAACGATTGTAAAATATAATAAAAAAATATGGAACATGAAAAGAGAAGAGGAGAGAGTTAAAAATTTGAGAAGAGGACGAAAGGCGAGAGGGAGAAAACATGGCAGTGTATCCGGAAGGGCTAGAGCTCCAGTTATAACTTATGACCTATATATAACCGTCACACAGCCGTCGTTTAACGGGAACGAAAGCGACGTCTTTGACGACGCTACGCTCTTGCATCGTCGGCACGGTCTGGCCTGTGAAATGACATTGGCTTGTGTCCAGCAGCGACCGACGCTCTGAATAAAATAGCGATCGACCGCATGCGTCATGCAAGGAGGTGCGTTTTCCTGCAACCGTCCTTCTATTCTTGAGAAAAAGTTCAAAACATTGCATCTCTCTATTATCGAAATATCTCGATATTGACATGTCGAGCTTGTATACGAGAGATCGATTTCGTAATCGCTGGTTTTCAAATCATATCTGAGCAATAAATAATAAATTATTTATAGAAGCCATTGAAAAATTGGTAATTTTTTTGTAATGCGTCTTGGAAGAAATAAGCGTGTCAGTTATTGTACTTATTATCCGTCCGTCGCAATATGTTCCTGCGCTTGCATGAGTATTATCCGTTTCCGGCTTTCCATATGTATTTGCGCGATCGATCGGCCCGTATCGATCGCATCGCGCACAGAGCACCGGCTTGCGATATGTCATTCGCGACAATTGTTACTGTTACGCTCATCACCCCTTTCTTTCCTTCGTGGGGCTCCGCATCGCGTGACTATATACTAACCACTTCCTGTGCGTTCACCTTTGCCATCGGTGCGTGCGTGTGACGGTAAGGTTGCGAGGAACAGTGTCGTCTCGATGATCGCGCGATGCTAACAATACAGCGTTTGCATAATCTGCCTGTAAAAAAGCGAGAAACATCTAATAATTTACTCGCTGCAACAATTTACTTGCTTATCTATTCGACTAAAAATGGTCTTTGTGGCGTGTTTCAGGGCCGTGAAAGCGTTCCAGCAGGTGCTATGGGTGGAACCAGGATTCCCACGGGCCTGCGAGGTTCACCTACGGCTCGGCTTGATGCTGAAGGTCCACGCTGACTTTGAGGCCGCGTTGAAGCACCTGACTCTCGCTCTAATCGATGCCACCACACCTGCATCTTTCTCCAAACTCGAGAGTGAGTAAATTCATCCCTTTTAAACTCGCACTGCAATTTGGAAAATGCTTGTATACAGCGGTTCCGTAATCGCTCGCTCACTTTCCACCGCAAACTTGACCGCCTTTTTCCACGATCCAGCTTTTTCCTGATCCACAGCAGCAGCGAGATGACTTTAGCTTGCATGATTAAACGAGGAAACACTTGACAGCTTCCTAAGACTGGGGAGATTTAAGATTCTCTTATCACAAATTCTATCAGATAAAGAACTGAATTAATTTGATTTTATCTTGGACATTATCAAGCATTAGGGAGTAAGTTATGGCTTAATTCTTAGTGGTGTATTTTTATTGATTTTAATTGAATTTTAATGAAGCTTAATTATAAAAATATACAATGTTGTGAAACTTTGTAACTTTCTACTTTATTAAAAAAATTAATTTTGAAAAGTATTGTTAATGTTTTAAGAAATATGAAATTATTTATTTATAAATAATGAAATAAGAAATATAAGAAAAAAGATTTATTCCAAATTCGTCAGCGAGTCTAAGATAAAATCAAAATTGCGATTCGTGGAAATCCGCATTTTTCATCTTGTATACAATATACATGAACGAATTTCTGGAATTTTTCACAAATGAGTCACGTTGACGATGACTGCGCTGATTCATGACTCGAAATTGAACATTCTTCACATGATGATTCGTGATGTTTCATGAAGTTACTCTTCTCAACCGGCACCGGTACCGGGAATTCCGCGCGGGAGTAACTTCCCGCCGGAAATCGCGCTGTTAAATAGCGAGTCGCGCGTCGCTTACGCGTCAGTTGCGTGCACGGTGCTTATCGCGTTTCGATATGGCGGGAATTAATCTTCGGAATCAATCTTAAACACCCTTTCCGAATCTACCTGATAAATATGCTTTCAATGAAGTATATATCGGTGTACCGATCGGCGCACTTTATTTACTTTCGATAAACACACGAGAGACTTTGTCGAATAATTGTTAAGGAATCTCGTTTTGTTTATGTGTTTCAGTTAAATTCCACATCGCTCATTTGCACGAAGTTCAAGGCAAGTATCGCGTGGCCAAGGAACACTACGAGGTTTTGCTGAAAGAAAAGATCCTGCCGTCGCATCTAAAGGCCGACATTTGCCGTCAATTGGGTAAGTGCATCATTTATTGTTATATTTATCGTTTATTAGAATGCCGAATGCTTTTGTTGCGCAGATAAGTAGATGAGAAGGAAAAATTTATAATGTAGGCCCGTTCATTAAATTCTAATTAATGGAAAGAGAAATTTGTGATTGTCAAACGCTGTATATTCAAATAATTCTCAATTTACAGATTTTTTAGAGCAAAATCCACTTAAAATTAAACAAGGAATACGATATTACTATTCTTTTGCATTTTTCAACTTTATTTCCAATCCCTTTAACTTAAATAATTTAATAAAGTTTTAAATTTTAGTTAGTGCGCGCCGGCAGACAGTTCGTCTGAAAATCGTATTATCGAATTTGAAAAAAAAATTGATATTTTTGTTGTAGAATCGATTTTGTATGTATGTTTGTCAAATAATCTGTGGGTAAAAATTGGCCTGCTAGCTGCAGGACACTGTATAAATATTCGAGATGTTGAAAAGGAAAGACGAAAGATATTACATTCGGATACACTTGAAGGTTCGTTCCGACGCATTCTATCTCTAAGGGAGTGTGCAAATATTTCATGTCTAAATATTTAAGACGTTTCGCGAAGGAGGAATGTGAAACAGAAATATTACTTTTGGAAAATTCTAGTCGAAAGTTTCGACACACTCCGACTGCGGAGGGATTTGTAAATATTTAATGCGGAGAAGGCTAGTGTAGAAACAAAGTTTTGTTCGATAAATTCATCTTTTGAACATCGAGCTTTGTGTGAAGTTTAACAAGCATCCTCAATTTCATAGTACTCGTTCAAAAAACTTGATAATTTGCGTAGAGACATAAAAATAATTGACTGCATTTCTTTATATTCTTCGTTTATACGCTTCGTTTAGCGTCTGCTAATTTGGATTAACGGAAAATAGACAATGTTCAACACGCTTTCTCCGATCTATCTCGTAAAGACATAAAAGAACGTGAAGTAAAAAATGGGGAGAATAAAATATGACGTCGCGAGAACTTGGATATTTTGTTTCAAATTATTTGTTCGCGCTTATACATTGTTACAAAAATATCATTTTTAAAAACGATAGACATGTATTTTCTTTCATATCTTTTAACACTTTGTCTACCGGAAGCCTATTTATTAATAGACTTTGTAGGTAGCGTAGTCGGTAGGTAGGTAAAGTGTTAATAGAAAAGTGTTTGCATAAAAAGAAATATAAAAAATTAATAATTAATTCAAAATAAAGCGTCAAACAAACTTGAACGTTATTGCAGCTTTGTGCTATTCAAACTATTCGAGAATAGTTTGAACTCGTACTCAGCGCGTTCTAGCTCGTGGGGGGGGGGGTCTAGCGTGCCCCTGTGCTGCGTACCCCCGTCGCGATTCGACGCGTAATCTACGCGCATAGTCTGGCATAGAATAGGGAAAGAGAGAGCGAGAGGGACATAGGGCAGGTGCGAGAGAAACAGAAGCTGAGGACAGTTTTCCCACAACTAGAGCCGCTCTTTCTCTCTCCGCCCCATTCACGCGACCTTACTTTCCCTCTCTGTCTCTCGTTCATTCACTCTTCTTCCCCTTCGGATTGCCTCTCTGTCTCATCGTCCCAGCCCACCCTAACCCGGAATAAATCAATACACGTGTCTGGTGTTACTTGGCGGAGTGCACCCGGCCCGCCGAGAATCTTAAACCGAATTCTGAAGGTGCGATGATCCGAGAGGAAAATTGCGCGTAGCTACACGAGAGTGGTATTTTTTCTTCTCTTTTTTTTCACTAGGAAACTTAGATGGGCATTTGTTTATTTGTCACGATGATAAAAACATCCTTCCGTCTCTTCGCTTCCTCATTCGCTGCCTCATAAAAATCGCTTGTGTTTTTTCAGAAATTGATTGTATTCTTACTTTACAAAAATGAGTGCGAGACGAACGTGCGAATAATGCTAGTCGGCTTTGAAATTGTCGAAAGCTTTCCAATTGGAACGAATCGTTTTCAGAAGAAGCTGCACGTCTCGCCTATCTCCGAGGGTGTACATTTTATGAGACTGCATTTCTTCGTCGAAAACGTCATGCAATGTAGCGAATGTATCTCGCCACTGCGGACCTTGAAGCGCTACGGGACTTCCACTTTACAGCCTGTTTATAGCTCCTCGCGTGTCGGCGGACCGTCTCGCTCGCGACCGGTCCTGCTTCCCTTTTTTTGGAACTCCGTCTTGCCGTTTTGTTCCTTCGTCCCTTTTTCCTCGTCCTTTCGGTAGGCGAACGTATAGTCTTTCTCTTCTCCTCGACGTGGCGGCGCATCTCATCGGCCGAATAACAAACGGTGAAGGCCGAATAAATTCAACTGTTTGCGGCTACATTTTTAATTATCGAAATATGCAATTGGCACGTGCAACAAATTTCGTAACGCAAAAATTTTTTTTATTTTAGAGAATTATACAAAGCGGATAAAAAATACGCGAGAATTTAAATAACGTGGAGTTTGGAAAATTTAGTAGTTTTTTGGGCATTGGAAAATCGAAATAAAAATTTCTTGAAAAATTCATTCGAGCGATTTAAATCGTGACCGAAAGATTTCGATCTGCGCTCTCAGGGTCCGTCCGAGGCCAGATGGGCGCAGATTTAAAGGTCGGGTAGATTTGCAAATCTCGGGCGCACATATATAGGATGTTACCGCGTTTCCGAATAGAACAGGTACGCCAGGTGAATAAATAATATTAAAGGTGGACGAAGCGAATAGTGCGGCGGCGCGTATCGCGTGATCAACGATTATTGGTCTTGTAAATAAGAGGAAAGTGGCAGAAATAGTTTTGAAAAAATTCTGAAATTTAAATGCGAATTTTTTCTTCTCGGCTTAAAATTAATTACATCAAAGATATGCAATAAATATGAAATTAGTGTTTAAAGTTTGCGGTTGCTTTGTTACAGTGTGTTGTTTTGAACAAGAGCCTGAATTTATTCATTTTCTTTATTTATCAAAGCCAATTATCGTCGGCTAATTTCCAATTTTTTCTTTCGGAAAATTTTAATCAATATCTTCGTTTAAAGTAGAATCTACTTATCATACGTTGACAATTGCCAAGTTATTGTTAATAGATTACGTTTTCCTTAATCACTAAATTAAACGGGCCAATTGGGAGAACTAATTATCTCGATTGGTTCCCACGTGGCGTTCCGCCACGCGCCCGCGTATTTTACGATCGCACATTTATTGTCGCGAATATAACAACTTCTTGCGACACCCCGCTTTTCCCACGACGATTAATCCATCGGCATATCAACAGGTAACCATGCGTTGCAAGAATATGAAAGTGGCAACTATATTGTTACATTAAAACCGCACGAGGAAAGAATTATCAAAAATAAAAGAGAAATTGTTAACAAAAATTGGATGGTTTCCATTAATATTTAAGCAAAACCAAGCGGAAACCGATAAAATTATCAAATCACAATGTTCTATTGTTGTTGTGCAGTTTTTCCGAAGGTTGTCACATACAGATTTAAATGCGATCTTCAAATTTGTAGTCCCGTCACGCAAAGGCACTTCAAAAATTACCTATTTTCGAGAGTATGAGAACAATAAGAAATGTTCAGTATGTTCTAGGCCATTTCTACGCTCCGCTGCTGCGCCTATGTTCGCAAAGGGGGTAATTCGAGACAGCCCCCTAGAGAAAGGGACAGCAGCGGGGATAGAAGCGAGTGTCAGAGGGGGGGCTACCCTAAGCTCTATATACCTGCGAAGATCTATTCGGTTTAGTTCACTAGCTCGTCGTCTAGTGTCGAGGTCACATCGGTGAAAACGCGCGGTGTCCGAGCCTACCGTCGCATGCGTACGTGCGAGCACGAGGAGAAACGGAGTTTCCGAACGAAAAGGCTGAAATTGTGTTTAACCGCGTGTATGACTCCCGTTATTTACAGGATGGATGTACCATGTGGTTGATTGCCCGGTGCTGGGCATAACCAGACAGCAGAAGCAAGCAATAGCTATCCACTGCCTGCAAAGATCCATCGAGGCTGAGCCAAAGAGTGGACAGAGTCTTTATCTCTTGGGACGTTGCTTAGCGGCTTCTGGAAAAGTGCACGATGCGTTTATCGCGTACAGGTAATACACACTTATCAGTGTGGACTACACTTTTGTTTATTGCAATGCGAGGAAGTCGCGAGCCGCGAGATACACGGTTCAACACTGTGTTTTATAAATTATTTTATAATTATTAATTTTGCATATTGTATTTAGAATTATATTTTTTACGATCACTTTTTTATTTTATTTTAACCCTCAAAACGGACTGTAGTTGTACATCAACCGTAAACCGGATTCGTGGGTCTATTTTTTTCACGCACCTTATTCAGTAACGTTAATGTGCTAAAAAAATTCTAAAAAATTCACACAAGTTTGTTGAAGTGTTAATTACATGCCCGAATTAAATTAAATTAATACAATTAGATAACAGTTTATTTTAAATATTTGATTTTATTGTTTTTTTTTAAGGTAGTAAATACTCGTAGGTAGCTAAATCGCTTGGACTATTTTAACCACGTAGTAGCGTTTGTAGGTTACAACAGTCAGTCGTGAGAAAAAATAGCTTTCCAATGATTGCGTTGAACAGAAATATTAGAACACGTGCAGTGGATTTAGGACCTTCTGTAATCTTGATTGGAAAATTGATAATGTGGTTTGTGCTTGGCAGGAATTCCGTTGAGAAATCAGAAGGCAATGCGGACACATGGTGTAGCATAGGAGTTCTTTACCAACAACAGAATCAGCCTATGGACGCGCTACAAGCTTATATATGCGCTGTGCAGCTCGACAAGTCTCATTCTGCTGCTTGGACTAATCTTGGGATATTATACGAGAGTGTTAGCCAACCGAAAGACGCTCTAGCTTGTTACGTCAACGCATCCAGGTAAATTGCACGTTACGCCAATACTAGTCGCGCATGTGTTATTTTGCACAAACTGCTCCCAATTATCAAATGCCATCGTTTCGTTACATTGTTTCGACACTCTTGTGCCTGATACATGATTACGAATAATAATTAAATTAGATACAATAATTGAGAAATTAAATTAAGTGAAATGATAATATTTCAAATTTGTTTTATCGCTCTCGATTAACTATAGTCTTACTGCATCTCGATTATTTATACTATTACTTGTTCTATCTAATCACATGCGCATTTTTATATGCTTTATATAATCGTACTTGTGTGAAAACGAATCATCTGCTCATCCCGCTAGATTATTAGGTCAGCGCGATAAGAATAATTCTCTTTTTTTTTCCGTTGCGCAGGGGAAACAGCAACGCGGCGAATTGCACGGGCCCACTGGCGGGTCTGGGTGGTGTTAAGTCCGGTGGCAACAACTCGATGAACCCGTCCCTCCAACAACGCATCAACTTTCTGCAGAATCACCTAAGTCAAGCACCAATGCCTTCCGTCGCTACCAAGTAAGTCGTCCTCGAGAAGGAAAAACGTATTACGTATTACAGTTCGGTTATTATTATTCTTTGCTGCAGCTCTTTGCTGCTCTATACTGATAAAATTCGTGCTAATTTTTCGTGTACTTTTTCTGCGAAACGAACGAAGAAGTAAATTATAGAGAAATTATTATTATTTTTGAAATTATTTTCAATATAAAATTGATTGCATTACATAACGTTGACAATATTAAAATGAGAAAATAAAATATTTAATTCGATTTTTTTCGTTCAAATTAATTTGCATCGTGAAAGATGAACATTTTATCTTTTTAATAATTTGAAAGTTTAATAAGAGTCACTAAAGTTTTC